AGTAAAAGGGATGGAAGCGTTGTGGCTGCTGGCAAAAATTTTGACCACTGAGCGGATCGAACGCCCAACCTTTCGATCTGGAGTCGAACGCGCTACCATTGCGCCAAGCAGTCACAGGCCATTATCAACAACACCTGTTTCTGCGATAAACTGTGCAGTAATGCTTGCCTTTAGGATTCTCTGTAGCAGAGTTATGTTAGTAAAAGGGATGGAAGCGTTGTGGCTGCTGGCAAAAATTTTGACCACTGAGCGGATCGAACGCCCAACCTTTCGATCTGGAGTCGAACGCGCTACCATTGCGCCAAGCAGTCACAGGCCATTATCAACAACACCTGTTTCTGCGATAAACTGTGCAGTAATGCTTGCCTTTGGGATTCTCTGTAGCAGAGTTATGCTAGTAAAAGGGATGGAAGCGTTGTGGCTGCTGGCAAAAATTTTGACCACTGAGCGGATCGAACGCCCAACCTTTCGATCTGGAGTCGAACGCGCTACCATTGCGCCAAGCAGTCACACTCGGTCGCAAAGGCCTGTAACTGTGAGGTAAAAAGTGAGGAGCAGGCCAACCAACGATTCCCTGTGACAGAGTTATGTTAGTAAAGGGGATGGAAGCGTTGTGGCTGCTGGCAAAAATTTTGACCACTGAGCGGATCGAACGCCCAACCTTTCGATCTGGAGTCGAACGCGCTACCATTGCGCCAAGCAGTCACAGGCCATTATCAACAACACCTGTTTCTGCGATAAACTGTGCAGTAATGCTTGCCTTTAGGATTCTCTGTAGCAGAGTTATGTTAGTAAAAGGGATGGAAGCGTTGTGGCTGCTGGCAAAAATTTTGACCACTGAGCGGATCGAACGCCCAACCTTTCGATCTGGAGTCGAACGCGCTACCATTGCGCCAAGCAGTCACAGGCCATTATCAACAACACCTGTTTCTGCGATAAACTGTGCAGTAATGCTTGCCTTTAGGATTCTCTGTAGCAGAGTTATGTTAGTAAAAGGGATGGAAGCGTTGTGGCTGCTGGCAAAAATTTTGACCACTGAGCGGATCGAACGCCCAACCTTTCGATCTGGAGTCGAACGCGCTACCATTGCGCCAAGCAGTCACAGGCCATTATCAACAACACCTGTTTCTGCGATAAACTGTGCAGTAATGCTTGCCTTTAGGATTCTCTGTAGCAGAGTTATGTTAGTAAAAGGGATGGAAGCGTTGTGGCTGCTGGCAAAAATTTTGACCACTGAGCGGATCGAACGCCCAACCTTTCGATCTGGAGTCGAACGCGCTACCATTGCGCCAAGCAGTCACAGGCCATTATCAACAACACCTGTTTCTGCGATAAACTGTGCAGTAATGCTTGCCTTTAGGATTCTCTGTAGCAGAGTTATGTTAGTAAAAGGGATGGAAGCGTTGTGGCTGCTGGCAAAAATTTTGACCACTGAGCGGATCGAACGCCCAACCTTTCGATCTGGAGTCGAACGCGCTACCATTGCGCCAAGCAGTCACAGGCCATTATCAACAACACCTGTTTCTGCGATAAACTGTGCAGTAATGCTTGCCTTTAGGATTCTCTGTAGCAGAGTTATGTTAGTAAAAGGGATGGAAGCGTTGTGGCTGCTGGCAAAAATTTTGACCACTGAGCGGATCGAACGCCCAACCTTTCGATCTGGAGTCGAACGCGCTACCATTGCGCCAAGCAGTCACAGGCCATTATCAACAACACCTGTTTCTGCGATAAACTGTGCAGTAATGCTTGCCTTTAGGATTCTCTGTAGCAGAGTTATGCTAGTAAAGGGATGGAAGCGTTGTGGCTGCTGGCAAAAATTTTGACCACTGAGCGGATCGAACGCCCAACCTTTCGATCTGGAGTCGAACGCGCTACCATTGCGCCAAGCAGTCACACTCGGTCGCAAAGGCCTGTAACTGTGAGGTAAAAAGTGAGGAGCAGGCCAACCAAAGATTCCCTGTGACAGAGTTATGCTAGTAAAAGGGATGGAAGCGTTGTGGCTGCTGGCAAAAATTTTGACCACTGAGCGGATCGAACGCCCAACCTTTCGATCTGGAGTCGAACGCGCTACCATTGCGCCAAGCAGTCACAGGCCATTATCAACAACACCTGTTTCTGCGATAAACTGTGCAGTAATGCTTGCCTTTAGGATTCTCTGTAGCAGAGTTATGTTAGTAAAAGGGATGGAAGCGTTGTGGCTGCTGGCAAAAATTTTGACCACTGAGCGGATCGAACGCCCAACCTTTCGATCTGGAGTCGAACGCGCTACCATTGCGCCAAGCAGTCACAGGCCATTATCAACAACACCTGTTTCTGCGATAAACTGTGCAGTAATGCTTGCCTTTAGGATTCTCTGTAGCAGAGTTATGTTAGTAAAGGGGATGGAAGCGTTGTGGCTGCTGGCAAAAATTTTGACCACTGAGCGGATCGAACGCCCAACCTTTCGATCTGGAGTCGAACGCGCTACCATTGCGCCAAGCAGTCACAGGCCATTATCAACAACACCTGTTTCTGCGATAAACTGTGCAGTAATGCTTGCCTTTAGGATTCTCTGTAGCAGAGTTATGTTAGTAAAGGGATGGAAGCGTTGTGGCTGCTGGCAAAAATTTTGACCACTGAGCGGATCGAACGCCCAACCTTTCGATCTGGAGTCGAACGCGCTACCATTGCGCCAAGCAGTCACAGGCCATTATCAACAACACCTGTTTCTGCGATAAACTGTGCAGTAATGCTTGCCTTTAGGATTCTCTGTAGCAGAGTTATGTTAGTAAAAAGGGATGGAAGCGTTGTGGCCTGCTGGCAAAAATTTTGACCACTGAGCGGATCGAACGCCCAACCTTTCGATCTGGAGTCGAACGCGCTACCATTGCGCCAAGCAGTCACACTCGGTCGCAAAGGCCTGTAACTGTGAGGTAAAAAGTGAGGAGCAGGCCAACCAACGATTCCCTGTGACAGAGTTATGTTAGTAAAGGGGATGGAAGCGTTGTGGCTGCTGGCAAAAATTTTGACCACTGAGCGGATCGAACGCCCAACCTTTCGATCTGGAGTCGAACGCGCTACCATTGCGCCAAGCAGTCACAGGCCATTATCAACAACACCTGTTTCTGCGATAAACTGTGCAGTAATGCTTGCCTTTAGGATTCTCTGTAGCAGAGTTATGTTAGTAAAAGGGATGGAAGCGTTGTGGCTGCTGGCAAAAATTTTGACCACTGAGCGGATCGAACGCCCAACCTTTCGATCTGGAGTCGAACGCGCTACCATTGCGCCAAGCAGTCACAGGCCATTATCAACAACACCTGTTTCTGCGATAAACTGTGCAGTAATGCTTGCCTTTAGGATTCTCTGTAGCAGAGTTATGTTAGTAAAAGGGATGGAAGCGTTGTGGCTGCTGGCAAAAATTTTGACCACTGAGCGGATCGAACGCCCAACCTTTCGATCTGGAGTCGAACGCGCTACCATTGCGCCAAGCAGTCACACTCGGTCGCAAAGGCCTGTAACTGTGAGGTAAAAAGTGAGGAGCAGGGCCAACCAACGATTCCCTGTGACAGAGTTATGCTAGTAAAAGGGATGGAAGCGTTGTGGCTGCTGGCAAAAATTTTGACCACTGAGCGGATCGGGGAGGAGTCGCGAACGCCCAACCTTTCGATCTGGAGTCGAACGCGCTACCATTGCGCCAAGCAGTCACACTCGGTCGCAAAGGCCTGTAACTGTGAGGTAAAAAGTGAGGAGCAGGCCAACCAACGATTCCCTGTGACAGAGTTATGTTAGTAAAGGGGATGGAAGCGTTGTGGCTGCTGGCAAAAATTTTGACCACTGAGCGGATCGAACGCCCAACCTTTCGATCTGGAGTCGAACGCGCTACCATTGCGCCAAGCAGTCTTCTTCTCAGCATTACGAATACGCTGAACTCACTTATTCGCACTCTTCGCTAGTAAAGGCTCGCTTTGGCAGTATTGATAGGCCAGCCCTCGGTCTGTGGGGTCATGGTTAAATCAGTAATTGGAGGCATGCCGTTGGTTTAGTCTGCAGAGGAAACCAACGCCGTCAGGAGCTCTAGGGCTGGGCAAGTTATCTGCCGTTAGCCGCGGTTTCCCTTTCATTAATTATGCTGTGGCCGTTCGGCCTCTCCCTGACGCCCTCTCCCACCTCATAATCTCCTATGAGCGTTGATTCTCTTTTACCTTTGCACAGCCGCATTACAAATGTAAGCAAGGTCCAACCTAAGTGTATTCTAAAAATTTTTCGCTTTACTGTTTGGCCCATTTCACACCAATAGTTTCGTAGTCTTGTGCAGAAACCACAACGTTTAATCCTAAAGCACGTCCTCAATTTGTTTGCAACGGAACTGCTGCTAAAGCAATATGAAGGAATTTTCAGCTGTACACTTCCAAAGGCTTTGTGTGGTAACCACACCCTATCTTGGTATCAAACCCTTTGTCACCAAAAAAATTTTTCCCACTGTGTACATGTCTCGCGGAGTTGGCACAGTTTTTCCTTTTCGATAACATATTTATAAAAAAATTGTAAACGAGTTCGAGTTACAATGTAATAATGTATCACCAGTAGTTGTATCCCTAAGGTTTGAAGTAATCTTTTGTAGGCGATGATGGAGCCGATGATGATGGGGATTTGAGGCTCGATGCAGGCGACTTCCCTTTGCCTTTGCCTTTTCCTTTCTTCTTTTTCGACGGAGGTTGTTGTGGGGAGGGATTCCGATAGAGATTGCGAAGTTTTGTCAGCAGCGCTAGCTGACAAGCCATCAGTGTTGACATTGTCATTGAAAGCATCACCAGGTGTAGTGATAGCTTTCTCCTGTAACAAGAGGATATAGAGTTCAACGCTTATCAGTCCGTTTCCAGGTTACTCCACGCATTCTGCTTCCATTCGGAATGCTAGTGACCCTCGAATGCGATTTGGCCTATACATTGATTTGCAGGGCTAGCCAATGTATAAGTAGCGTTTGCTTAACACTTGGACGACAGCGCGGGACACATACGTCCCGCACTTTCACACGGAAGAGGCTTGTTTTTCCTAAATTGTGCCTCCATTTTCATGCTTCAAGACTGGCCCTTCCTACTGTTGGATACGAAAAATAGTTCTCTCGTTACCACTAATGAAATTATTGGTAATGTAGTAACTGTTAATGCAAATTTGTAAAATAAGGTGGTAGGTTGCGCGCACAAGGGCGTGTCGTCAACGTGTTAAACAGAAGGGTGATATCAACTAGTAGGCTACGGTGGCATAGAGGGCTTGGCCGGCCTGGGAGCGATTCGATCTGAAGTGTCACCTCGGACGGTGCGCGTAGTAAGCGACGCCATTCACCGTTACACCACTTTTTCATATAATACTCCATTCTTAGACATCAGATTAAGAGCAGTTGTATAAAGGCAGCGATGACGATACATCTAAGAAGATTCAGTGGAGAAGTGATGGTGCGCAATGGTAATTCCGTGGTGATAAAAGCGAAGGAATCCGTCATAAAAACGCAAAACAGGACCTCCTTTTCCGGCCGTTGGATTTCAATCGGAAAGGAAAGCGGACGTGTGAGCGAGTTCATCGCAACGCGTTTGGTGGCACCGTGCCAATCCACGCTTTGATCGATATGTTCCAATTTTGCCGCTGCTGGCAACGCAGCTCGTCCAAATCACCAAGTAAGCCAGTGCGCGGATCGTTTTTCAGGCGGAGTGCTTTCGAAGTCCTGCTCAGCAACCAGCGAACCCTTCGTCCTGAAGCGCCACACCTCGCTTTCCCTGGCAGCCAAGTAACTGATTCGTGTGGTGCATATGCTTCCCCGATGAACCCCTTCCTTATCGTGAGCGCTGCCTTTAAGGCCAGTGAAAGGATCCATTCACGCCTTTCAAAGTTTGTAAGAAGTTCTTTCTTTCAAAAGCCAGATGTTACGACAAGTAGATCGCTGCTGAGAACGAAAAGTAGGCAAAGGGCGTAACAATAAAGAAGAATTCAGAGATACAGTTCAACACCCGCGAGGCAGGACCCTTATTTCCACTGAGTTCCGCTTTGGGCGAGTTGCTGCTGAAGTGTGCACTATGGTCTGTCTCTGCTTATTGGCCAGAGTCCGACAGCAAAGGCTCAGCTGTTGGACAACCGACAGCTGGATGGGAAGAGGCACGAGGGAGCCTGGAGTGACCAGAAAAACCTTGTTACGTGGTTACAGGAGCCCAAGCACCACTCTCACCTGGTTAGTGTGAACAACTCTGGTGCTTTGTATTGTTTGAGAATAGTGTCAAGAGTGAATTTACGCACGGAGAGCCCAGACGCCTTACGCATGGGGAGATCGAGTGTCCCGCGGGAGAGCGTGACTGAACAGGCAAGAACCCTCGACGAGTCGGCCACAAATCCTCGACCTCGCCCTGCTCTCGGTCCTCTTGGTGTCCAACCTTCCTTTCTTAGTACATTTTCTGATCTCCGACATCCAATTGTTGTGCCACCTTTCTTCAAGCACTTGTGGTCATGTTGATTTTGTATATTGTTTTTCTAGGGACTACGTTTTGGGCCTATTTTAATAGATAGATGGGGATGCGGAGCTATTCTTCTCAAGCGGACGATCGGCCCAAATGTGCGGCACCGCCGCGAGGTGCTAAAGTAGGCTAAGCCAAGACCCTAATGTTGAAAAGCGTTTGAAGTATTTGCTGGATTGTGTCAGGGCTACATAGGAAGGACTGGAGTCTGCAACCTTCCTTTTCCCTTGATCCACCAAAGGAGCCTAGCCGAACTTTTTTTTCCAAGGTATATCTCCCCAAGTAACTTCTGCACGGTGAAACTCCAGTTCGGGGGGGCCACTCCATTTTTTCTCCAATACTCAAGATAAGGATTAGAGGGCTCACGACACGTAATCGACTCATTTAAAGTAGACTTCTGATAATATTGGTGTAATGGGTGAGAAACCCTGAAACGTTTTCACATTTCCGCCTGCCATGACCCAAGGGAACGGTCCTGGACCAGGAGAAAGGACACCTCCGCAAAGGGCTAAGGGTGCAGGAGCTCCAGGGTGGATCACCTGTGCAGAAAAGTGGATGGGATGTGGGCAGGTAGTGTGGAATGTAGGACATCCACCGGTCCTTATCAAAAGTACGCTCGAAATGAGTCGTTCACTTATTATCTTATCCGTAGTGTTCGATAGCCCAAAGAACTGCTCTCTAGTACTACGGATAAGATAGCAATGGAGTGGCCCCCCCGAACTGGAGTTTCACCCCTCATGCACCAATCCTGAAACTGGAACTGCTTCGAAACATCTTCTTCTGTAGTACTTTCGCTTCCCAGAACAATTTGCTGTAGTAGCTCCTCAAATAACTGGATTCATCGCACAGACAAACCTTTCTCTCAATCACTAGCGCAATTTCATTCCATTGACTTTCCGCCCTAACAACTTCCCAAGGATAGCCTTATCTCCTTACTGGCAATTAATAACTGGAATTTTTCATTTATTTTCATGAAAAACTTACACAAGTTCGTCTTCGGTCACCTGTGGAGCCTGCAACAATCGATGTTTTATTCCTATGCACTTTTCTCAATTCTAGGTTCACAGTCAACCGACAATTCTCATTTTGCGGGTACTTGGAAATCAAGAATTTCGAAATCCAGCGACATACTTACCGTAAACACTAACAAATATAAGGGTTTGTAGGAGTTTTGCCTGATGATCCTATGTAAGGGTTGAGTAAGAGTCGATGATGAATGATTGCACAGCGAGCAATATTCGCAAGAAAAGGGGAGAAGTGGGGCGTAAAAAGAAATGTAGTGTCATAGAATCACATCAGCCAGCTAACAGTCCGTGCACACAAGCATGATTAGCGCTTCGAGTTCTTAAACAGAAAATTCAGACTTTATAGATGCCAGATTTATGTGCGCTTAGAGAAGCTGCACATAAGTTCTGGTGCAATGCTAGGACACCGATTATTCGTCCCAATTTTTGGAGAAAATTCTGCGAAAACCGCATTGACTTTGGGATTTTTCAGGTTTTTTAAAGTTGGTTCAGAGTCGAGTATTTCATAAGCTGAAAAGCCGTTGAAGTTAGCTCGTCGAGTTTTAGAAGACGGCGCAGAAAAGCCTCGTTTGGAATGCCCCACGCATTCGAATCTCATGAAAGCAACCTAATTGTCTATGCCACATACGAACCCCTTCCCACCTCCAACATCTCACTCCAACACTCTACACAGGCTGGCTACAAATTACGGTAACAAGAGCGTACCGCATCTGCTTCAGAATTGAACGGATGGGGTTTTGAGTGTAGCTTTTGCGCATTTGATTCTATTGATACGATGTTCATTCTTTAATTTTACCACTCAAAATTTATCTAGTTTGGATTGTTCAAGCCTTTAGCTCTTCATGAAATAACGACTCGCTTGCTTCGTCAAGGTGTCTGGTGGTGTTACGTTGCAAAGCGAATCAGGATCTTCAGAAACCTGCAACAACCACCATTGCGAAGAACAATCGACTAGGTGCTAGGAACGATTGGATTGGACGTGGAAGAGAAGCTTCTGTTGTTACCAAGAACAATATTGAGAAATCGTAATCGCGAAGTAGCGATGGACTCTAGCACATTCAATAAGTCGCTTGTTAGCGATCAGGTGCACTTCCTTGCACGTAATCGTCAGAAAACATTCTGTGGCTAAGGTACGTAAGCGTGGAAAGCTCAGCTCTCCAAGGGGCGACCCGACGCGGG